CCCTCAGGGCTGTCTGCTAAGCTCCCTGCTGTTCACCATCTACACCCATGACTGCATTCCTGTTCATCGCTCTAATAAGATCATTAAGTTTGCAGATGACACCACTCTTTTAGGTCTTGTCCATAACAACGATGACGCAGCATACAGAGATGAGGTTTGACATTTATCAGAATGGTGTGATGATCACAACCTCTCTCTTAACATCAAGAAGACCCAGGAGATGGTTTTTGACTTCCGAAGGAGTAAGGATGCCCCCCGCCCTCTCTGCATTAAAGGAGCTAAGGTGGATAGAGTTCCCTCCTTTAAGTTTCTCGGGATTTACATCTCTAAGGATCTGTCATGGACAATCAATACCACTGCCTTGGTCAAAAAAGCACAACAGAAGCTGCACTTCCTGAGGGTCCTGAAGTGGAACAGGCTGCAGACCAACCTCTTGGTGTCTTTTTATCGAGCAATCATTGAGAGCGTGATGACTGATGCTATCCCTGTGTGGTGCGCGGGGTGCAAAGTAGCTGATAAAAACAGATACCAGAGGGTCATCAGAGCGGTGGAAAAGGTGATTGGATGCACCCTCCCCTCCTTGGACACTATCGCCTTGCAGAGGTGTCTCACTAGAGCAAGGACCATCTCCAGGGACATTTACCACCCAAACCACTACCTTGTTGCCATGCTGCCCTCTGGGAAAAGGTTCAGATCCCTCGGCTGCAGGACCAACAGACTGAGGAAGAGTTTCTTTCCCTGGGCTGTTAGAACCCTGAATGGACAGAAAAATCAACTCTATTGATATTGTTAATTGTATTTTGTAATGTTTTTGTTTTTATTGCATGGTGCATATTGTACTTGTTTTAGCTATTTTTCTCAGTATTTTTAGCGGATGCCTAATGTGAAGCTCTAGGAAATTTTGTTGAATGGACAATCATTTAATGACAATAAAGGATATCTATCTATCTATCTATCTATCTATCTATCTATCTATCTATCTATCTATCTATCTATCTATCTATCTATCTATCTATCTATCTATCTATCTATCTATCATCTATCTATCTATCTATCTATCTATCTATCTATCTATCTATCTATCTATCTATCTATCTATCTATCTATCTATCTATCTATCTATCTATCTATCTATCTATCTATCTATCTATCTATCTATCATCTATCTATCTATCTATCTATCTATCTATCTATCTATCTATCTATCTATCTATCTATCTATCTATCTATCTATCTATCTATCATCTATCTATCTATCTATCTATCTATCTATCTATCTATCTATCTATCTATCTATCTATCTATCTGTCTGTCTGTCTGTCTGTCTGTCTGTCTGTCTGTCTGTCTGTCTGTCTGTCTGTCAAGACCTGCCACTCATTGTGGGGAAAGACTTCCCTCATTCTCTTTCTTACTTTGGTGCCTGCTGTGTTTGTGATAGAATTTCATATTTCATAGATTGTGCAACAAGAACAAGTGTAATCCAACGCAAACAAGAGTGCAAATCACTCCCATCGACTAAACGGGATGGGATTTTTGCATCTGCAGTTTATTAGCATCATTTTTGTGAAACAAATGCAGAGAAAGAGGTATTGGATGCAAATGATGTGCAAAAACAAAACATATTTGCCTGATGAAATACTCAGAAAACAGTCAAATACAAAAAAGGGAGGGAAAGGAACAATGAACTGTCACTCCAACATGACAAAGTAAAGGTGCTTTTTTACCTTTATCTCAAGATATTGACGTTTTGTTTTGGCGGCAGTGTTATTCTCAGTGTTAGAGGTCATCCTCCAGTCAGCGGATAGGGTGTTCAATTCACAGCCCTGTCATTGTGCCAAAGTGCCCTTGGGCAAGACAGAATACCAACCGACCCCATCTGCCCCTGATGTGCTTGTCAATGTATAAAGATGTCTGTGTCAATCAGTAAATGAGAAATACACTGTGAAGCAGTTTGCAGAAGCCGGATGAAGTTTTAAAGGAGCAATATGTAAGAATTCTACTGTGAAATCATCACAAAACAGTCTAATGTCTCAATCATGTCGGAAGGAAGGTTATGTTGAAACAGATTTAATTTTCAGCCGGCTGAGGGGTTGTCAGTTTTTCTTCTTTCACAACAAACAAAAGAGTGATGTAGTTTCTGGGGCCTATCAGTGAGCCCATGAGGTTGCCAAGTTTGGCCAAACTAACACTGCAGAATCAGCATTTGTAATTTCACACCGGTGACAAAAAGCTCCAGAGTTGTTTAAGGAATTAAAACCAGTGAACAGGAGCGACCCAGACAGTATTTCTTGCACCCCTAATAAGCCACAGCATCTTTTTGTTTTACTCTAATATCGGATGAAGCCGGCTAGAGGCTAACATTTAGCTAACAATGCTAATGGGGAATTACAAGCAAATAACTGGCTCTAAATACATCTTAAACTACTTTTTCAATTACCAACAACTCAATATCACAATGAAATGTGTGTGTGAAGTGAACAATGAGTCAATTGTGGTGTTTCACTTTAATCAGTAATTCAGAACTAAAACAGCAAGCTAACAGCAAGACGCAAACAACCACACATCCTCTAATGCCGGAGGCATATCAACTCATAAACTGCCATTGACGACAAAAGACGTTGTTTTAGATCCAACCATTAACTGCCAATGACGACTAAAGTCATCATTTGCATTTTTTTATTGTGTGGGCGGCGGACGAGCCCCCGCACCGAGAGAACAAACATCCCAGTTCTAAAGCCAATCTTCATCCGCTTACGTCACATGGCACATGATCAGGAAGCAGAAAATCCATGTGTTAGGAGATCGATTTGGGCCGCTGCTGTAAAAAAAAGTGAGGCGCGAACCGGAAAAGCTTCTGCTGATCACAATTCGACAACAGATTATGAAAGATCGGATAACCCTCTAAACACGCAGGTTCTTCCTAATGTAAGAGGTGAGTCTCTTCTTTGTTTTAGTTGTTTTAGCGTCGACATCATCCTAGAGCGCGGTGTCGACATCATCCTAGCGCGCAACGTTCTGTGACTCTTCAAAAAACAGTAAACACTGAAAAATGCTGGCAGCGAAGAGCTTTTCTGATCAGGAAACAGCTGGCAGTGAATGAGTTAACGTAATAAGTGCTAACACCAGATATGACAACGTATTTATCTTCTTATCAACTTACTGTGTACGACTCGTCTTCGCTTGTCAGCTAGAATCTTCTGGCGCCGATCTGTAACTGGCAACAACCATGAAACTAACAAAACGGCAGAGAGAAAGTCACTTATTTGCTTTGAACATGGGCAGCAGTACCCAAATCTAACCACAGGATGTCGTTCTTGCTTCATTCTTACACATTGCACCTTTAAGAAAATCTACACATATGTGGGCCATTTCATTAAGATAAATTAACTGCCTGACTTGAGAAACAATCTATTTTCTCAACATTACAGGGAGTTTGAAGAACGGACGAAGTCTTGTGTTGATTTCTGCTATTACGATAATTATGTCAGTTCTTGAGGGTCCGTAAATAAATGTGATATAAAGGTCTAAACGTGTTGTTTTCTTTGCTGTGGTACATCTAAGTGTTTCTTAACAACTACAACAGGAAACTGTTTTGGCGTTTCTAAGCAGTTCGACCATTTTTTTTAGAAAGCAGGCCAAGATTGATACCAAAATCAATAAGCTAGACTTATTGTCTAGAGATAAGAAGAAAATTAGCTTTTAATCTAACAGCCATGAACAAACAAATCAAGTATTCTCTTCTTCTGGCTTTCTAGTCTGTCTGTTCATTATGGGTGCTGGCAGCCAAATCGTACCCCTATTTCAAACACAACAATTATTATAGGAGAAAAATGTCTGATTTGAATAGGGCTGATTTTTTCAACTTCATCTGGTCCAGATAAGGAGTCATTCAGAAATACTTCCAGTGCCAGTAAAATTACGATTAATTTACTATTACTTTATTAAAACCCTTAAAACCCATCCTCCATGTAAACGGATGAAATGATTTTCTGATTATTAAATAGTGTTTGAAGGTAGAAATGCTTGCTCTGAGTTTGTTGTGTCTATGATAGGGTTCATTTGGTCTGAACTTGGGTGCTTTATGGTCACAAGTAAGTACAAGAGGACAGATGTGTCAAAATAAACCTGCTTTATTTCAAACCCAAACAACGTGGAATATATGAATTTACCAAAAGAGCAAAGGAGGCAAAAAATTCACCCGGAGCAAACTATTACTTTTGATTTCTGTCATTTGAGCCATGCAATTTGATTATATTCAGATATATACAAGCAAACAGTAGCCTGGCTAGCCATCCTTTATACAGTATTTGAATATATAGTCTGGCCATGGCCTATAGACAGAACTCAGTCGTGGGACGAGATCGACGGTGGTCTTTTTACAATAGTCTCTGTGTGCGATTGGACAATGAACAACATGAAGTCCATCGCTACAGATGTCAGTCAATGGAGCAGCCTGCCATATGCCATAGAAAATCAGCAAATACATCCTTTTCTAAATAATACCTCTATCTGCTCTTGGCTCAGAGAAAAACTCTAGTTTAAATAGTCCAAAGTTGACGCCAAAGCCGTGCGTAGACTGACATGCGGATCACAATGATTTTGCTTCATCTACTGTCGGTCTAGATTTCTAGGCTAAGCTAGCAGACCAGCTACCATTTGGTGAAGTACCTGCAGAATGCTTCTATTTAAAGACCTAAAGTGCCTACAACCTTCAAGGGTATAGCTAACAATGTTTCAGAGCTTTTTGCTTCACTTACTTCTTTTGCTTGATGAGAAATTGTTGCACACATGCATGCTCACAACCATCTGCCCAACTGAGGTAAGTGTAGTATTATATCTGGGTTTATATTTGTTTTAATCAGGGGAGAGTGAAACACTAATGCAAAGGTTGATTATTTTTACAGCAGCTTCACTGCTAATGCAGAAAATGTCAAGCCGATCTTTTTCTCAGCTTCAGAACGGCGTAGGACATCTACTTATGCGTGTCTTTCTTTCTCCAGCTGTGTCCCTCGCCCTCGCCTTGAATGGAGTCTTTACAAATACCATTAAGCTGATTGTCGGCAGGTGAGTTAAACCAAACATTTTACAGACTCAATCAATTACGCTAAGTCTTTAGATTCAGGTTCTGATCACTTAATATCACAGACACATTCCCACATTCTCTTTTGTAGCCATCAACAAGCTTCTGGTATACATACTTGACTTCTCGTCTTGGCAGATTTGGTAAAGTTACCTTGTTTTATGGAGGAAACCCAACTTTTAATCATAGTCAACTCATTTCAAACTTATTAGAGTAAATATGAAATGTAAATAGGCTTCAAATATGCTTCAAAAAGCAGCTGAAAACTCAACTGTTCAAGCTGGCTTTTGCGTGGCCTTCGTCGCCTCCCTCTTCTTATTCTGTTCTTATTCTGCCTTTCCTGGGATCCATTGATTTCCCTCTTTCCTATTCATTTTCTCTCTCCATTTCCTTATTTTTTTTGTTCTTTTCTCCTTTTAAACATATTTTAATCATTTTTTTAATCTTTTACGCTTTAAATAGCTGTTTTAGTTTTTGCTTTTGCGAAGCGCCTCGTGATTTTTATCTTGAGAGGCGCCATATAAAAGATTGTCTTCTTCTTTTTCTTCTTATTAAGGTCATTCCAGAACCTTAATTTCCGTTCTACCAATTGTTTCCAAGAATTAAACGTCTGGCTGAGGATTTCAGGTGAAATTTAGACATTTGGAGGTCTTTATGGGGTGACAGTGGCACAGGAGTTAAGTGCTTGCCCCGTAATCGGAAGGTTGCAGGTTAAAGCCCTGCTCAGTTTGTCGCTGTCATTGTGTCCTTGGGCAAGACACTTAACCCGACTTGCCTGCTGGTGGTGGTCGGAGGGACCGCTGGCGCCTGTGCTCGGCAGCCTCACCTCTGTCAGTGCACCCCAGGGCAGCTGTGGCTACATTGTAGCACATCTCCACCAGTGTATGAATGTGCGTGTGAATGCATGAATGACTGATTGTGTTGTAAAGCGCCTTGGGGGGTTCCAGGACTCTAGAAGGCACTATATCAAATACAGACCATTTACCATTCCTCTCTATGCCCTTCACAATACAGTAAGGGGCTCGACACATGGGAGGCGACAAACGACCGCGATCAGCGAAATTCGTCGCTGTCGCTTTTATTACCTGACACACGGGATGCGATCCGCGGCAGCGGCAAAGCCGTCTACGCGTTCTGTTCCATGGCGAAACCTAAACTTCCGTTGTTTTGATTGGCTGTGTCAGGTTGGAGGGAATTAAGGTTATTTAAGCGGTTCAGAGTTAATAAAGCGGTAGATATGATGTTTCACAAGGTGCTGCTAGAGTTATGTGAAATCTTACTTCTGATTTTACTATATAAAACATAATAATAATCAACTTCTCCTCCATGTTTGCTCGGAGAAGTGCGGAGCATCCTGTCCGCTCATTGGTCAGTGAATGAAACCTCCGTTGATTGGTCCTCGTCCGAGCGACAGCGATGAAAAGTTGAAAATATTTCAACTTTTTTGGAACGTGCACGAGCGCAAAATTTCACACGCACGTTTTTCGCGTTTCGCTTCGTAGGAGGGAGACCCACGATTATCGCTTTGTCGCGCATGTCTCATTGAAAATGAATGGAGGAGAGGCGATGTCGCCTCCCGTGTGTCGAGCCCATAATACCATAGCATGGTAGCATGATGCTACCATCACCGTGCTTCAGTTATGTTCTTAGGTTTGAAATCCTCACCTAGACTTTATCAAGCATCTTGTTACAGCTCAACCTTTGTCTCGTCTTATCATGAAACTTGGACTGTCTGATATGATTGGCCAAAACTGGCATTTAAAGGAAATATTGGAAATGATTGGTAATGGTTTTACTCCTTTAACAACACAACTTTTACACCATATACATATTATAAACTAAACTCTTCAGCAAGTTATCCTTTCAAAATTCTAAATATGACAGATATGTGGTACAGTTTTTGAGACAACTGGGTTTTTCCACTGAAAGGGCGCCATTTTTCTGTTGTAAAACTCAAAAAATAAAACTATTTTTTACGTTTCTAAACTGAGTCAAGTCATATATGTATCTATATATTTTTATATAGTCACTGGTTTCATTTCATGGGTACTTCTCTGAAAGATCTTACACATATTACAGGGGCGCGGGGGTTGTCTGTGTTCCGCTGGATTGTTTAAATTTTAATTTATTTTATTTATTTAATTTGTCATTCTCGACAGCTCACTTTCTTTTCAGGCTCACATTAATAACTTAATTCGGTCAGCATACTTCCATCTACGTTCCATTAACCGTCTCCGTCCCTCACTGACCCCTCACACTGCCGCCATTCTCGTCCACAGCCTCGTCACCTCCCGTATCGACTATTGCAATTCACTTCTTTATGGTCTCCCCAACAAACTCCTTCATAAACTGCAACTGGTCCAGAATTCAGCAGCCCGTATTATCACCAGAACCCCTTCCTTTCACCACATCACACCGGTTCTCCAGCAGCTTCACTGGCTCCCAGTTAAATTCAGGTCCATCTTCAAAATTCTCCTCCATACCTTCAAAGCAATCCACAACCTCTCTCCTCCATATATCTCAGACCTTCTAAGTATTCACACCCCGTCCCGTTCACTCAGATCTTCTTCTTCCATCCATCTTGCGGTTCCTTCTGCCCGTCTCGCTACCATGGGGAGCAGAGCTTTCAGCCGCTCTGCTCCTCGACTCTGGAACTCACTTCCCCCAGACATCAGGAACGTCGACAGTTTTACCCTTTTCAAAACAAAACTCAAAACACATATGTTTAAATCTGCCTACAACCTCTGATTTTATTGAACTGTTTCTCTCTTTGTTTTTTCTTCTTTGGGTTTTATTATTGTTTTATTGTATTTTATTACGTGTTTTGTGTAAAGTGACCTTGGGTGTCCTGAAAGGCGCTTTTAAATAAAATGTATTATTATTATTATTATTATAAATCTTCGATTTTCAGCACCTGCCATTACACTGTTGTGCAACTCTTGTAATTAAACATTGGACAAATCCGTATATATGAAGAATTCGTAATTATGGTTGTCCTCAGCAATCTTCAAGTCCCACTCAAGTGTTTGGCTGTTGTCCCCAGCACCATTAAAAACATGAATGATTACGTTAATGTCATTGACCAGCGTCCTGGTACAAAGAAAACTGATGCCCTTAAAATTAGCTACATGAAAAGATAAATCTTTATGTGATTTTTATGAACAGGTTAGACACACCATACATATTGGTATCGGTTTATATCTGTATTGGAATGAAGATATCAGGTATCAGTGAAAACGCTGATATTGAGTAACCTTAATCAGGCACGTTTATGAGCAATTTTCCACCCTTGCTTGAAAGTCTCTTTTGGATCAGGAATGTTGTTATTGGTATATTCCCATAAAACTGGCTTTGCTGGGAACAGAGACACAGGTAATCCAGCTTTTAGTAGCCTGGAGTTCCTTTCATCCGAGGTTGACCAGTATTGGTCAATCTAATAGGTGCTGTACACATAATAAACCGTAATCCCTAACAAGAAGTTAATTAAGCCCCTCGATACATTCTGGAACCGTTAGCTCCACTTATTAAAGATTTAGATGAATGTATGTGTATATTTGAGCCTAAATGTTTTATTTTGACCTAGTTCAAGCCAGCTTTTAATTAAAAAACCCAAATCATGTGAAGTGCATGTGAACTTCATACAGCAGTCATAATTAAAAGAGACTTTCTGTGTCTAATTTCCAGACCAAGGCCAGATTATTTCCAGCGCTGTTTCCCAGATGGGCAAATTACTGACAAGATGGCATGCACTGGGGAGCCGCGGGTGGTCTCTGAGGGACGAAAGAGCTTCCCCAGCAGCCATTCCTCCTGTGAGTATCATGGGATGGCAGACACGGGTATCGCGTTAGCTTAAATTAGTGATTTACACTAATGGCTCAGAAAAACTGGTCACTTAGTTTGTTTTGAGCTACATCATCCATGTGCCAACCATGTTTTTTCTGCTTTTAGCGCCTCTTTTCAAAGTGAATTACACACTCTAATATGCAACTCCCGAGGCTCGTATGCCGGCTGAATTGAAAAGTTTTTGACACGTGACACCTGACAATGTTCAGTGTTTCAGCTCCATTGGATTTCCTGCTGTGCTCGGCTGTAGAAAACCGGAGTGGAATGCTTTGGACCACATTCCAGCACCGTGTTAAATAATTCACATGCTCTCTGTTGTCCAGATTTCTGGAAACGGGTCGGTCTGCACCGCTTTGGGCCACACAGATGTTTAAACCGTCCGTGCTCCGCAGCAGCAGCTCCGAAAACATTCTTGGTGATTTTCCATCTTTGAGCACAAAAAATGCTATTGCGTTGAGACTTTTATCCTGTTACTTTATCAAGTCTGTGCCTCGGTATAATCTACCACAGCAAAACTACAAATAGATGTTCACTTCCTTTTTTTATCAGCCAAGAAAAATTTAAATAAATCTCAGCGTCTTTAACCGTTCCTGCTCCCGTTTGTGGCAGATCATTGATGTTTTGTTTACTTTTTCCCACTGTTGCGTTCCAGTCATCATTCATGGATCACAACGGAACGCGGTTGAATTCATGGGGAGTAGGGGGTCCTTTGATTGTCAGTACATTTCTTTGGCATGGTGTTTATTGGAATCCTTGATATTGATATTACTGTATATACACAGATTTAGTGATATTACTCAGTTGCTCATTGTTGCATTCTTGTGAAGAATTTAGCAATTTTTAGATGAAGTTTTAATATCGCTGGTGTAACCGACTTTCTCTGTTTAATGCAGACCTAAAAAATCAAACATGCAGTTTTAGTTGCGACCACACAATGGTTAAAATCTACTTGACCATCAGGCAATTGACTTTTTTTTAATCAGGTTTTAGGCACCAGCATAGCACTGAAACTGCTCATGTACATGTGTTCAGTGACATTTATATGGCCTTGGATTCAGGATTCCATGTGGTTCTGGTTCTCCTTGATCCATCTACAGCTTTTGACAGGATTACCATCCTGATCTCCGGAACATCCTTGAATAGTTTAAGTCACACTTCTCCAACAGGTACCTTAGGGTCATACTGGAAGGCTAATCATCCCAATCAGTCTCCCTTCTCTGGGCGTCCCTCAAGGTTCCATCATTGGACTGTTAATGCTCTCCCTCTGTATGTTGTAACAAATAAAATGGTCTGGTATGGTAAATGGAGCATGCCATCAAACTTTAGTTCTACTCATTGTGGACGGATCACTCAAAATCTTTACAAGCTAATTTAGAGCAATACTGAATTGTGTTGCTGATCTTTTAAATCACTGGTGTAGCTTCTCAGTTATGTCTCCTATAGTGATTAAAAGGTTTTAAAGACAAATAGATTAAATGTCCTCTCTCAAAAAGACTTTTGGGTAATGGCTGAAATGATTTCAAGAAAGAAAGAAAAAAGAACTAAGTCCAGCTGCCTTTTTAACCCTCTCAGGCTCAAAATAAGTTTTGTTACGGATCCTGGACTCAGGCCCAGCTCTGCTCCCTTTTCGGATCAGGACCTTGGACAGGTCCTCAGTCAGGCCGGTTTTCCCCACAGCCTGCATTCACCGGCTCAGCTGCAAGCCAACAGCTTTCATCAGCTGATGGCTTAAAAGACAGCAGCTGTCAGTTCTCAGGGAGAGAACCACAGCTTCACACTCTGTCCTTCTCGCCCCGGTCCTTGGATCTCTGTAGTAAACAGTTCCGTAGTGGATAAAGAACTTTGATGAATTTGGTTGTAAGATAAGCAGTTATTTTTGGTAAAATCTTATTGTTTAGTAGCCATTTTCAGTTTGTGATCCTTTCGCCTGCTCTTAAAGCTTGAATTTCTGCTCCGCTTTCCGCTTCAGAGCTCGGTTTTCCTTTTGGTAACTAGAATAAAGTTTAGCCGTCGAGATTTGTTGTTTTCTAGTTATTAAGCTCCGCCATTTTTTGTTCATTGAAGTATCTTCGTTATTTCTTCCCTGAGGCCTTTTGCCACAGGTGTTTTGATTTCTGCCCCGTCGCCTTCATTTGTTTTCATGGAGTAAATTACTTTCGTTATTATTCTAGTCAAGGACTGGGTATTTGTCTTTACTCTTTACTGTTTATTTATACTCACCCCTGCTCCCTCCAGTTCTTATGTTACCCCTCCTACCACAACTAACTGCCATCTAGGGTTTGTAACAGTTTTGATAAAAGGACGAACAACTAAGTCCTTCAGGGGAACTTCTGAGTTTAAAAAAGCTCATGAAACACGTATGTGGAGTAACCAGGTAGGCTGGTTTTAACGTAGCTAATCTGCAGCGCCTGCCTCCAGAGGGTTAAAAGAAGCTTCAAAAGCCTTCTAAAATGACTCTATTCTCAAAGATGTGTTGCTTGTAGCAGTCAAGCACCCATCTCAACTTCTCACTCAAGCACTTCTTCTCCTCCACCTACTTCTCTTATTCTCTACTGCGCCCTAGTGGAAGACACAACAGCGGGCTAATGCTAACCTATCGTATTTTAAAAACCATAAAAAATATGTTATCTCTGTGAATTTCTTTCTTTTTTAAGCTGAAAAAATAAACTAATACAATGCTAAAATGTCAGCAGTCTACAGTTTTTTTAAAGAATAGCGTTCCTGCAAATATTACAATTTTGAATGTTTGAGCCATTTTACGATAGCAGCAACCCATTTTCTTTTGTCGCTTATTGCCCAAAAAATGTACGGAGGTCTATTGGCAGATAAGTACTTTTTCTGATGCCGTTCGATACGTGCCATAGATTTAACATATGATAAAAACCAGTATAAATCTGGCCATGTGGTGAACAGCTACGCTGGGAGAGAAGCGATTCTGTGGTGACGTCGTAGAAGTGACGTCTGATTTGTAGTCATTTAATTTTTACAAGCTAAGAAAGCCCTAATCACATGACATTGTCCCAACACATATAATTATTATTTAAATTGAACATATGTGTGATTCAGGATGTAAGGCAAAGCAGACTAGACAACAGCTTGTTCACTTTCATTCAGTGTATTCTTTTGTTCAGGCGACCCATGAGCCAACCGGGAGGAGGGGAGGCGTAGGCTCCCCACAGACCAGATAAAAATAGGAAGTCAGATCTCATTGTATAGAGCTCCGGGTGTCACATGACTCTCAGAGAGTAGACGCCATGTTGGCAGGCAACAAAGGTAAACAAAATGAATGGGATCGGCTTGGATTTTACTCTGTCTGAGTTTACTTCACACTTTAAAACCAAAGAAATTGTTTTGTATAGTCCAGCCATCCATTTTCTGAACCCACTTTGTCCACACAGGGTGGCGGGGGGCTGGTGCCTATCTCCAGCGGTCAACGGGCAATCAGGCGGGGTACACCCTGGACAGAGAGCCAGTCCATCACAGGGCAACACAGAGACGCACAGGACAAACACACACACACACACACACACACACACCTAAGGACAATTTAGACAAACCAATCAACCTAACAGTCATGTATTTGGACTGTGGGAGGAAGCCGGAGTACCGGAGAGAACCCACGCATGCACAGGGAGAACATGCAAACTCCATGAATAAAGACCCCAGGCTGGGAAGCGAACCCAGGACCTTCCTGCTGCAAGGCAACAGCTCTAACCACCGCGTCACTGCGCAGCCATTTTTATATAGTCAGAAGTCAAATAGACTAAACATCTCCGACACTTACCATGCCCCTGGGATACTTTTTAAAAATGCCAGAAGCTATCGGAGTGGACTTCTTACCGGACCTGGCCAGGGAACGTCTTGGGATTTCCCCGGAGCAGCTGGCCCAAGTGGCTGGGAGAGGGAAGTCTGGGCCTCTCGACTTAGGCTACTGCCCCTGCAACCCGACTCCGGATACGCGGATGAAAATGGATGGATGGATGGACAAATAACATAGATTTACACGTAAGTAGTTTAAATAGAGTGCTGTGCTGTTTGAATGTATAAACTGAACGCCAAGAGAAATCAGTAGTCTAAATTTTTTCTGTGAATAAAATAAATATGTCAGGCAGGAGCGTCTCAGGATCTGTCTGAGATCTGTCTCGGTGAGACAGATAATAGCAATCCAAAGTGCTTTTTATGTGTGATCTGACAATTGATCAACCATTGCTTAAAAATTAAATACAGCTTAGCCGGTTAAATGCTGTGATCATAAAACACGTAAAAAGCAGCACGCAGAACTCACGAGGCAACGTTTTACGTGATGTTTACTTGTTGCTATGAGTAATAAGACAGAAAAAGCCACGCCAAAATAAGTTTAGGAAGCCCACTAAGAATTGTAATAAAAGCATTTAAAATAAATACCATACACAGTTGAGGAAACGTTGGTTTAAGTACCTGATATGAAGTGGTCGCTGCACAAGCGAAAACCTTTACTCTCGGGATCCCACAGTTTCATTTTAGCCCGGTCACTAGCGCGTTTTATTACAATGATGCAACGTTTGCGGCGCTCCGGATCTTGGGGAATCCTGTAGATGGCTCATTCCTTATGTCGTCTGCGTCTGTTCTGCATCCTGGGGCACAACAGGAATCGACCATATTTCCCGTTTGATTGAGTTTTCTGACAATAACAAATAGTTCAGTTGCGGGCTTCTGCCTGCCAATATGGCGCCGTTTCGATTTGAACTGTTGCATGCCGGGAAAAGTGATGTCAACTCCCGGAGCTCTATTGCCTCGTTCCTCCTCTGGAGAGGTGGAGTTTTTCCTTTCTACAGGATTGATGAGCTAATGGCTAGGTTGAGCTCAGCCAATACTGAAGTAGATTGCTGCCATCTTAAAACTGTTGCACTCTTCCATATTAATACAGTAGTTACTGTGGAAGTTGTATAAAACACTATGTTGATGTTATTTTCGTTGAAACATTTAG